GGCGAAGGACTTCCCCTCTTCAACAATAGGACTTCGTTTGACGAAAACAATGCTAAACTTGGAATTAAATAGGATACTAAGGGAACCTTTGCATTTTCGGATTTGTGTAGTGGACGTCAACAGTTATTGAATATGAGACCACAAAGTCCGAGCTTTCAGTCTCTTCTTCCTCATCTGCACCAGAATAGATGGCATAAAGTTTTTACCTTTATTCGAAAATTTCTGAATCAATAGGGCTAGGGATTGAGCATCGCCGAGGAATTTTCTAATGGCCTCTTGCGATACCGGATCAGCTAGAGTTGTGGAGAAAACTGACATGTCCTCCGCATCGTCAAATGCTCCAACAATCCTTTTTAAGTATTCGGAAAAAGCCCCTTGGTCTGCAACTTTAACATGGACTTCGGGTGTTCCCGTAGGAACTTCCCCACTCACGTCAACCATTTTTCCAACTTGCGCAAAAACCGAGTAGCGCACTTTTTAAAGAGGTTACTTAAATAAGCGTATATTCGATATGGATCCTAATACACAAAGCAGACGTGCCATAATTTCCCTTTGTAATAAATGAGGTCTTCGAAAATAAGAAAATAGCGTTATTTGTTTATTTGTTTTCCTTTTCGATTAACTTCTTAGTAGTGGTTGGTTCAACATGAATATCGAAAAAAGAGAATGGGGGACACGGAAGTTCCAGGAAGGGAAGCCGTAGTAATATAAACCGATAGGACAGAAGAGCTTTCAGCTGAACAGATAGCTAGATTCAATGGACGAAATCGGTCAAGAAAACAGTGAAAAATTCGCCAAATATTAATTTGTTTTGCTATGTCGACTGCCGTGACCCAGAGAACAGCGTTATTGTGTTCATGTTTCGTGACATCATCTAATTCAGTATAATTCAGTATATATAAAGAAGATAGACAGAGCCTTTGAAAGCCCTATTTACAGATAGATGCTGTCAGATCGTGCATGTCGTTCAAAGCCACATATATAATATAAATCGTTGTTATCTACCAAATGTATGACCAGAAATTAAAGAAAGATCAAGCCTTCGTTTAAATGATTCAACGCTTTCAGCAAGAACAACTGAGGAAGGAGGTTTATTCCAATCTTCAATGACCCGGTGGGAGAAGAATTTGGCCCGCACTTCTAGTGTGGCATGGTGTTTCATCAGTTTGTACGAATGACCGCGTAGATGTAACGTCTGTGCGAATTCAAAGCAGTCAGACATCTGAAGTGCACAGTCCACTCCCCTGACGATTTTAAACACCATGATCATATCCTTTCTGTATTGCCTATAACAGAGA